TTCAGACAATTTTTTACTCAGCAAAGAGAGCACCTGTTCAAGCCATGAGACATATTAAAAATATGAAATGTTGGTGGTGGTTATGGTTATGTTTGTGATCCTAATTTCAGTCTCTTTCTTTCTTCCAGTAAGCTTCTACAATTCCATTTGGAGCAAGGAAAGTCACCTAGAAGCTAAAGACAATTTAATAAATTTCCCCTTTTTGTAGATTTCCTAAATATTTGTTAAAATGACAAAGGTATTCACTTTACAAAGACTTACACTTTCTCAGACACACTTTCTTTTTCTTTCTTTAGCCAATAGGGTACTATAAGTCCAACAACTGAAATCTGTTGTGTGGTCTTACCTAGCAAAATCAGCCATTGCCAAGAATTCACTCCAAGCACTTAATATGTTTATCCTTGTCTGTCCATACACTGCCATATTTTACCAATTAGGATCAGATCTTGAATCTGATCAGACCTAGTTTTTACTAACCATTACATTTCCATTTAACTTAAAATCACACCTAAAGATTTTTAGGTGTTATTTTTCTTTGAAGGAGGAGAAAAGAAATTACCAATGAGGCTGCTTTGAATTCCTCTTTATTTTCAAATACTGAGCTGTTTCTTCCAGCTCTTAATTCATTGACTTGTGTCTATTCTTTCTGTTTCATATATCTCAGCTAGAAAAGGCTATTCTTTACTTTCTACTTTTTATAAATTAGCCCTACACTTATTATGGGTACATATGTCCATTATTTAATGTGTATGTCTGTATGCTGCCTTTTTAAAGAAAGTGGCAGCTAAATCGAATCATTACCAAAGGGTAAAATTGTTGTTAATGTGATGTTTTCCCCAGTCAATATAAAAGATAATAGTTCTTTGGTTTTGTAGGGCTATTGATTTCCACTATTTAAAGTCCATATATATATGTTTCAACAAGAGTTGACTCTACTTTTTAACCCTTTTGGGTTCAAGTTCTCACAACCTCAGAGTAGATTTTAAGCTACGCTTGTATCTTCAGGATATAACTCTGCACACTGAAAATCCTGCTTGGCATAAATTAAAACGGACTGATGTTTTTTGCAGCTATAGCAGAACTTGTTTTCATCAGAATATAAAGAGCATTTTCAATTAATTCAGTCTTCTAACATTCCCATGAAAGAGATGGCTGTTGTTTGTGTTTGACAGATGAAACTCCCCAAGCAATGAAAGGGTGTAGATGGCTTCTTCATAAAAACAGCCCCTGAAGTTAAGCGACAAGCTGAAATGCCAAGTCTTGCACAGGCATATTAATACCTCCTTGATTTTTCCGAGTGCTGTAAGCACTCAACAGCCGTGAAAAGAAAGGTATCAAGAATTTTAAAAGGAAGCACTTACATACTACCAGCCACATCTGAAAAATCCCAGCTTTAGTGATTCTAAAAATGACATTGAAACATGGTGAAAGAGTGGAAGTTCCATCCTTCACTTGTCCAGCCTGATATTCTGTGTGTAAGCTGAAGGGGTAAAAAACCCCAAAAACAACAGAATGGATGACTGGAGAAATAGAAAGAAAACCTGCAAATCTCAGCACACAAGTGTGACATCCTTTTGGGAATCAGATTGAAGAGGATATCCAGAAACCTACAGGTAGTTTTTAACCAAAATCAGACAAAGAAAAAAATTACCTCTCAGAAACTATTCAGATGTAGCATTCAGAAAATACTTGTCAATCAGTCCTGCTGTGGTGGCAGCAGGACTTCAGGAAAAGACTACAGCAATTGCACAGTGTGGCAGGTCATTCTGATAACCAAAATTTTTTAGGTGTCTATATAGACCCAGTGGTGTGTGTGTGTGTGTGTTGGGGGGGGGGGGTGTATCTGTATCCATAGTTATAAGAGTAAAGGTCTTATGTGGCTATAAATGGTGATATGTGGCTTTCCATATATACATATACACATATCTAAGTGTGTAACAGCCTGATAGATTTTATTGTTCCAAATTTCCCTTCTTAGGCCCTTCTGAGCAGGGTACTTCAATTAAATAGTTTCAGTCCCATGACTCAAAGCAATTATTTGAAGCAGGGACTGTTTTCCGATACACTGACCTCCGATGAAAGAGGAAAGGGTTCAACCCCAGCCCGAAAGCAAAGGATCAAATACTTCGGTCCAGTGTGTCTCTGCTGTAACTTGGGTTGCAGAAAATGAGCTCTTTTGGAACAGCTTTTTTAGAGCCAGAGATGCTCCTTATTTGAATAAAGCCCAACGAAACAAGATAATATGTAACCCATCAAAGACTTATATTTTCTTTCAACAATTTTTTTGTGGTTTGGAGGTTATTTCAGCAGATTTACGAACCTAACATGCTCCTTTCTGTTTCGCTGCAGTGTTATCTTTAAGATAACATCTAAAGAGCTGCGGGACCCACTCAGAAGTCTCTGGTCCCACACGCCTGAAACATCCCGCAACATCGTACGGCGATGTTCCTGGTCAGAACCCGTAGGGCTCCGCGGCAGGGAGCAAGAACGGAACCGGCTTGCAGGGGGACGAGGGGGCAATCCCCCAGTTGCCTCCTCGATTCCCAGAGTAGGTAGATTTACAGGCTATGGGAATGACAAATACTGGGTCTCAAGAATTTGTTTGGTGACTGTGGTAACTTTAATTTGCGGAATGCGGGCGGTCGGGGCGGGGGGGGGGGGGGGGGGGGGGGGGGGGGAGGCACAAGGAGGAGGGCGAGTTACAGCTCTTCCTGCACCGTACAGAGTGAATGAAGAAGCCCCCGTGTTACACGCGGTTCTCTCACACTCTCGACGGCCGCAGCGCCGCTGAAGGTCTCCGAGCAGCCTGGTCCGACGGGGCTCCCGTGGGGGCCAATCCCGACGCGGCCTCCCCCGTCTGAAAATAACCCCGAGTCTGGGAAGGATTCGTCAACCCTTCGTTCGTTAGGGAGAATTTCACTCCCGTCGTATTTCGAACCAAAACGGGAAGGTCTCCCTTACCCAAGGCAGTCACTGTTTTCCTGTCCCCCTCTCCGGTGCAATCCGCAGGAAACCTAAGCAACATCCAAAGCTTGTCTACCTTGCTCTGTCTGCGAGATTAAGTGAGTTTTGGGGGAAAAAACCCGCAGCAGCCTTTAACTAAGCGACATCTGTCCTGAGGAGATGTTTTAAATCACGGGATCCATTCAGTCTGTAATATGGTAAAATTAACGTAGCTTTGTAAAACTTCCTTCTGTACCTGCCCTAGCCCGGGAGACGCAGAGCCCGAGGGAACGGGTGGCCAGAACAGAGCCCCAGGCGGGGACCAGCCCCTCCGAGAGCCGCACAGAGGCTCGCCGGCCGCGGGAGGGGCGCAGAGGCTCGGCCTTCGCGGCGTCCGGCAGGATGCTCCTCGGTTTGTTTTGCTGTCAGTGCAAGGCGGCTTGGCCAGGCTTTGCTCCTCTCCTCACCCCGCGGCGCGCAGCGCCCAGTCCGCTTCGTGCCGGAGCATCGGGCTTCTCCTACACCTTTGTGTTGTCTTCCTCGGTCGAACGAGATCCACGCAAAAATTGGGCCAAACGTTAACCCGGAGAGAACGGGTGGTTAGGGCTGGGTCTAGTATTTCGGTGCTGGCTGTCAGCAGCCTGTCTCAGGCTCTCGCCTGTGTGGCCGCAGCCGGAGGTGGACACAGCAGGGCCGGTTCCCCCGTCTCTCGGCTCCCACCGGGGGTGGGGGCTGAGTCCGCCTGTCCTCTGTGACGCCGGTGTCGGTGCCTGTCCGGGGGCACAGCGGGCACCACCGGGCGCGCCCTGCCGCTCGCACTCCGCCAGCGCCCGGCTTGCGCAAGATCCGCATCCTGGCGGGGTTCGGGCAGCACCTCGGCCTCGGGGCTCTGCGGCCGCCGTCACTTGTTCGCCATTTATCTCAGTTGCCCCGATGCGGCGCGGCGGGAGCGGGGCGGGCAGCAGAGCTCGGCTGCTGCAGCCCGGCCGGATCCTTCCGTCAAGCAACGAAATCTGGCCGCTCGGCCAGTCTCGTTTAAAATTCATCCGTGAGGTGGAGGCAAGTGTTTGCAGCGCTCCCTGTGAGCTGGCCGGCGGCGGGCAGAGGGCGAGGGGCTGCGGATTTAGCTGCAAATCGTTCGCGCCAGCTCTGTGCGCTCGACACAATCAAACGAGCATCGACCCCTTCCCAAGCGCTGTCCCTTCCCTTCTGGGGTTAAAGGCTCACGGTTTTCCGCTGAGAGAAAGCGCCAAACAGCTCTGGAAACTGCCTCAATTAAAAATCTGTCTACCCCGTGGGAGATGCTGAAGGGCAATGCGGGTTGTGAAAAACCGACCGCCGAATCCCTGAAAAATGGAATTGCGAACCGAGCCCATCGCTTCTCACAGAGACGTCCCTCACGAGGTGAAACACGTCAACCCTAGGATAAGGATGTTGCCCGGGGAGCGGAGAGGGAGGAAGGAGGCTGCTGGCCTCAGAAGAGGCATAAGTCGAATTGGTTGACCAGCGAGGCGGCTGGCGAGGAGATGGTGGCGGCTAGTGTCACCCGCCCCGTCTCAGCGGCCCGGCAGATCGCTGCCCTCCCTCCCTGGCGGGTCCCGGCTTTCCTCCACATACTTTTCCCTTTCATCCCCATTCCGCGCTCCCCGCCCGGAATTCTCCCCTCTGCTCCTGAGCGGTGCGCCCGGGAGGACGGTGCCACCTCGGCAAAAGGTCTTTTTTTGGGACAGGGGAAGCCGCGGCCACCGTGGAATGATGCGGCCGTTCCCCTCACTTCGAGCAACGTGGGGGCACGGAGGGGGCCGGAGCCTCTGGGTAACGGGCTGCGGGAAGAGGGGCCATGGAGGCGGGGGCGCACACCAGAGTCACAGGTGACTTGTTCCAATTAGTAGCTGTCTAATTAAATTAGTGTCACGCGGCCCAGCCAATGGGTCGGCGGGGGTGGAGGGCGGCGATGAGGCAGCCCCGGCGCAAGCCCCTCCCCGGCGGCCCGAGGAGCCCGGCGCGCCGGTATAAATCGCCTCGGCAAAGCTCTGCTGTAGCTCTGTGCAGCCGTGGGTCGGGGTCGTTACCGGACCGAGTGGGAGTTCCACCGCACTGCCTATCGAGGATGCAGCTGGGTGAGCCGCTGCTGGCGGCGGCGGGGACACTGCCAGGTGCCCCCTTTTACCCGCTGGAGGGCGGGGGGCGCGGCGCCGCCGCGGGAGCGGGAGCTGGAGCTGGGACGGGCACTGGCGGAGGCTCCCGCGGGCCACCGGGGCCGGGTTCGCCGCCGCGCCTCGACCTGGACAAGATGCCCAAGAAGTTCGGGGCGGCCCCCGCCATCCTGGGCGAGGCGGAGGCGGTCGAGCCGCCCTTCGCCGCCCCCAAGCCGGACGGCCGCAAGGCCACCCCGTGCGGGGACGAGGAGCTGCCCCCGGCCGCCGCCGCCCGCTACTCCATGGACAGTCTGAGCCCCGAGCGCTACTACCTACAGTCCCCCGGGCCGCCCGCGGCCGAGCTGGGGGGGCCCTGCGCCCTCTTCCCGTACCCGCCGGCGGCGCAGCACGGCGCCGTGTACCAGCCGCCCGGCGGGCCGCGCTACCCCTACGGCTCGGTGCTGTCGCCGGGCGGCTTCGCGGGCGCCGTGTGCCCGCCCGGCGGCCGGGCGCAGTTCGGCGGCGGCGGCGGGTACCAGTACGGGCAGGCGACGGCGGGCGGACCCCTCTACGGCCCTTACCCGGCGGCGTCGGGCTCCTGTGGCGGGCTCGGGGCGCTGGGGGTGCCGGCCGCCGGCCCGGGGCTGCGGGCCCAGGTCTTCCTCTGCAACCGACCCCTCTGGCTCAAGTTCCACCGGCACCAGACGGAGATGATCATCACCAAGCAGGGCCGGTAAGCGGGTGCAGAGGATGGCGAAAAAGGCGGGAGGTAGTGGGGGGTGGGGTGGGGGAGCACTCCCGAGGACGCTCCGCTTCGGGCAGCGCTTTCCCGCTGTGCCGGGGAGGAGGTGCACGGTCTCCTCGTCGGTCGTGCCCCGGGATGCTTTCCTTGAGAAGCAACTCTATTTTCCCCACACGAGGCGGTTGGGAGATGGGGCGGGGGTTGGTTGGGGCTCGCCGCTTGCTTCCTTGGTCTCCTCGGTGCCGTGACGGACGAGGCGCACCCCGCGGCCGCCTACGGTATCCGTCGGAGCCCGCGCCCCCTTCCCCGGCCCACCTCAGCATGCCGTGTGGTTTTCCCCCCTCTCTCCAGGAGAATGTTTCCCTTCCTGAGCTTCAACATCACTGGCCTCAACCCCACGGCCCACTACAACGTTTTCGTGGAGGTAGTCTTGGCGGACCCCAACCACTGGCGTTTCCAGGGAGGCAAGTGGGTGACCTGCGGCAAAGCCGACAACAACATGCAAGGTAGGTGCGGGTTCTCGGGGTCTCCTCGCCGCCTTTCCCTGTGGGTCGGTTTCCCAGAAAGGGTTCCCGCTTCTCCCCCTTCTGCAGGGTCTTCCCCACACCCGGCATTTTGGTGGGGGACAAGCTACACTTTTAAGGCCGTTTTGCGACCTTTTTTCACGCCGCGGTGTGCGAGGCTGTGTGGGAGAGGGGCCATCGTGGAGCCGAGGTGCTGCGCCGGGGGGGGGGCGGGGGGGGGGGGCAGCAGAACAAAGCCCCGTGCTCGGCCGGTCTCTTACTGACTTGTCTTCCCCAGGCAACAAGGTCTACGTTCACCCCGAGTCGCCCAACACCGGGGCTCACTGGATGAGGCAGGAGATTTCTTTCGGGAAGCTGAAGCTGACGAACAATAAAGGTGCTAACAACAACAACGCGCAGGTATGGGGGGGAGGCAGGCTTGAGAGGCTCTTGGTGGGTCAGCAGGGGAGCCCTGGGATTTCGGGCCTTCACACCATTTCATCGAGCTGCTAGATCACTGTGACTGTGACTTGTCCCCTTCTTGAACTGGGTCATAGATCTTGTTTACTTCTCCGTATGAATGGAGTTAGAAATGTCAGAATTTGATGTGTGAATTTATTTGGTTTTAGCTGGTGTATTTATCCCTGGAGTTGCTCAAAAAGTGGGAGTGTAGCTGATGGCTCTTACTGAAACAGGGCTATAAGCTATGAAACATCTCCTGATAACAGTTAAAATGTTCTATACAATTTACCGGAAGAAAATGTCATGCTGTAAAATAGACCTTTTAATGTTAGATGCAATTGTTTTAAAGATTTTTATCTCTTTCATGGTTTCTTTTAGATGATAGTACTTCAGTCTCTACACAAGTACCAGCCCCGGCTTCACATTGTGGAAGTGACTGAAGATGGTGTTGAAGATCTGAATGATTCCTCAAAGACTCAAACATTTGTTTTCCCTGAAACACAGTTCATAGCAGTTACAGCATATCAAAACACTGATGTAAGCAAGGATGTATAAAATTACAATTGAGAATAAAATTGCCTTGTGGGTTCAGAGTCTCATCTTACTATATTCTGCTTTCACTTTTAGATTACACAGCTCAAAATTGACCATAACCCTTTTGCAAAAGGCTTCAGAGACAACTATGACTCGTAAGTACGCTTCTGTGATCTTTTGCAGTTGTTTCTGTCTAGGAAGCATGATTCTGGCCTGAAATGTATGTGCAAGAGATTTTCTTCATACACTAATACACTGTAAAGTGTATTGTCTTGATTACCTGTCTTTCAGCAGGCTTCTGAATTTTGGTAGTAAATTTGTGCTGGCCTGCAGATTTGGCAGTAGAGTGTATTGAGTGTCTCCAAGAGTAGGCAGCATCTTTCAAGTTGTCAGCAAAAGACTTGCCTAATGGTCACTTTTATAGCTTCAAATGCCCTTTGGAAAATCAGAGCTGTGTGTATATATACAAGTATGGCTGCTGGGAGGAGGATGTTGCATGCAACTCATCTAAAATGGGTTGAATGGTGGAGAACAGTGTATTTGTAGCAGTAATACCAGAAATTTTATACTAGTCTAGGGGAAAAAATCCTCCTAAATCAGATAAAAATAAACAGCCATCCAATTATAGTTATTCTAATTAAGAAATAACTCGAGTTTCTTCCTGTTTGTGTTTTTATGTAGTCTTACTATCATACTGGAACTGTTAAGAAAAACACTTGGTATTTCTCTTTTATGTTGTAGCATGTACACAGCTTCAGAAAATGACAGATTAACTCCATCTCCCACGGATTCTCCTAGATCCCACCAGATTGTCCCTGGCGCCCGATACAGTGTGCAGCCGTTCTTCCAGGAACAGTTTGTCAACAACCTGCCCCCAGCCAGGTTTTACAACGGTGAGAGAACCGTCCCTCAGACCAATGGGTTGCTGTCCCCGCAGCAGAACGAGGAGGTGGCCAGCCCTCCTCAGCGGTGGTTTGTGACGCCTGTACAGCAGCCCAGTGCCAACAAATTGGACATGAACTCCTATGAGACGGAGTATTCTCACAGCACCTTGCTCCCTTATGGCATTAAATCCCTCCCCCTTCAGACATCCCATGCACTGGGATACTATCCCGACCCGACATTTCCATCCATGGCAGGCTGGGGGAGCAGGGGCTCTTACCAGCGAAAAATGACAACAGGATTACCTTGGACCTCAAGAACAAGTCCTCCAGGATTCTCTGAAGATCAGCTTTCCAAGGAGAAGGTGAAAGAAGAAATTGGCTCATCCTGGATAGAGACTCCACCCTCCATAAAGTCTTTAGATTCAAATGATTCTGGGGTCTACACAGGTGCTTGTAAGAGAAGACGGCTTTCCCCTAGCACTTCCAGCAATGAAAATTCCCCAACGATGAAATGTGAGGACATTAATGCTGAGGACTATAGCAAAGACACTTCAAAAGGCATGGGCTATTATGCGTTCTATACTAGTTCTTAAAACATCCTTTTATTCCAATTGGCTAATTTTTTCCAGGGTGGCCTTGGGTTTTTTTGCATTACAATTGCCAAAAAGACTCCTGCCTTCCACCTTTAATTGTTGTGTGCAATTCTAAAGAAGGTGCCAAAGCTTTTTCACTGTTGCAGGTAACAAAGTAGGGAAAGAGCAAACCATGGAAGAATTCATCCCCTCCTTTAGAAGGAACCACATGCAGAAGCTGTAAGAGGACAGTAGATCTTAACAATGTGGCTTATTTACTGGAGACACCAAAGTGTACAGTTTGGCTTGGCTCAGAGACCTGATCAAATCTATGCACTCCTGAGCAAGGAAATAGGGGGGTAGGATCCCAAATTTAATTTTCTTCCCTGCTTGACCCTCTGGTAAAAGGGGGCTGGGTTGTAGGGAGCTGCACAAATGCTATGTCCTGCTTCAGACTGCGTTGGTTTCTTCAACCTTATCTGCAACACAGTTGGCTGAGTTGGCTTGTTCAGCTAAGACTGTCTTTGGCAGAAGATGGCCAAAATAAAGCCTGGTTGCCAGGCAGGATTTTGACTTGAAGATCTTGTTGCCAATGATGGGGTTACAATGACCAAGTCTGAGTCTTTTAGCTTAGAACTTTCATTAAAAAAAAAGCCTCCATCCCAAAAGCCTAACCTTTACTGAGGTGGCCAAAAACAAAGTGTACAGTTGTGTTTTGTCTAGGTACACTGTAGAATATTGTGGAATAATGTATAAATAGTTGACCTTATAGCTGTTCAGTTGGGAGGACATCTGGTGGTATTTTGAAATTCAAAAGGCTTTTTTTTGGTTAATCAAACTTGCCATATATGGAGCATCGCAAAAAGATTTTATTTATGTGTATGTAAAGTGACTTTTTCAGCTGCCCTGTATGAAACTGGAAATGATGTAACTACCCACTCTTCTTTCCTATAGTTTCAGCCATTTTAAACTGGTCGGCCCCAGAGCACTGGCACACAAACTTTTAACCCACTAAGACCTTTTTTTGTTTTGTTTTTCTGTGTACATACTAGTAATTTTAAATAAATGTGGTGCCAGGGATAAGAGGGAGATGGCTCTGCGTTTTCTTTGCCTCTGCTGGGTGTCCTAGAGGGGGAGGAGGGAGCACAGTCCTAGGGGTTTGAGTTGTCTCTATATGTAACCACCCCTTGTAATGTTGCTACCTCAATTCTCACACCGTGCTCATTTGCGTGCTGCACAATGAGGGTTTTTTCTCCCACTCTTCATCGTCTCGCAGTTTGCCACGGTTCTCCTGGGCATCCCCCCCCAAGGTCAGACCCCCGGTCTCTTTTCCCCCGTCACCCTCCTCTGCCCTGCCCCACTGATGTAGGCGTGGTGAGAGCTCAGCCTCGGCCCGGGGAGCGAATTGTGAACCCATCCTGCCTCCCGCAGAAACCCCGCGGCTGCCCCTTCCGTTTCCCGGAACCAGGCAAGAAATTCCCCTGACCGCTTATCTGGGGGTAAAGCTCCACCCGGCAGAGCGATTGAATGCCGGCTCCCGCAGCAGTCGGACCTTTCCTGAGGATATGCAGGCAGTAATGGGATTAAGCTGTTAGCGATTCCTGGCTGCAAACAAAATAAACGCGGGGCTCAGGCCGGGGCCGTTCTCGGTGGAGGTAACGCGATCGGGGGGCACTGGCAGCGGCTCCCCGTCGTCCGGAGCGGGACGAGGCGGGTGTCCGACGTGGTATCGATCAGCGCCTCCTTTCTCGGGACGAGGCTCCGGCTCTGCGCGCTGGCAAGCGAAACAAATCGGTGTCCCGGCAGCTCGTCCCCCGCACAAGGACCCCATCTGGGACAGAAGGGGACTCGCGGTAATTTTTGAGGGACTAGGGATGGAATATAATTTTTGTGTGTATTTTTTAGGTGGGGGATATCCTCCCCTGGAAAAGTCTCCTGGACGGGCAGGCTGCCCCCTGTTCCCAGCCGGGGGTGCGGCGACATGCCGACCATCCCTGCCCGCCCCGCAAACACCGATTACACAGCGCCCGGGAGCACGATTCCGCCGCGCTGTGTTATTAAAAGCTGTATATTTTTGCACCGCACCGTAAAAAAGAACTTAATACTTGTGAAAAGTCCTCACACTGTTTAATAAAAATGTAAGTGCCTAGCTGGCCCCAATTAACACCTTGTGATTATAATGCATTCCTAAAATGGGGTGTCAGACGCCAAATTGTGAATAAAGGTATCTAATTAATCTTCATCGGATGACACTGATAAACAACTCCAGATTTAAATAAAGATCAAGGAACTGAGTGCTTTTTATTTGTTTACATTAACAGAAGATAAAGTTAACTACCCTTGCACTTTGCTTCGTAATGTGATTTACTGACACAAACAGCGGGTTGCGGGCGGAGAGCCCCGCCTCGCCTCGGCGGGCTTTTTATCGTGGCTTTGGAGGGAGGGGGACACCCCGAGGGTGAGTGTCACTCCGTCCGCATCCCCCACACCCCCGGGTGGCATGGAGGTGTCCCGGGAAACGCGGCACCACCTTCGCCTGACTGCGAACGGTGGAAGGGAGCGCGCCCGTCGGCCTCGTCCCTGACACTTCCGACGCTGTGGTATGTAAGCATGCGAGTTTGAAACGGCAGCTGGACGGGGATGGCGGGCTTAGAGGGAAATAAATAAATAAATTTTAAAAAAATAGTTATTTACACCACTGCGGTGGTGTGCGGCGGGAGGTGAACTGCGAGCCCTGCCTGATGAAACGGGAAAACTGAGTTCTAGATTAGGGAGAATCCGAACCTCCGCGGCTGCCGGCCAGGCAAAGGCTCTGCCCGCCCCGGGGATTCGGCCCGGAGAAAGCGAAATACACCAGTGTAATAATCCATTGAGGCCGTTCCCCGCGAATTAGCCATTCTCTGGGATATTTCCTCACTGAGCAGAGCGAGTTCGGCGCTCTCTCTGCGTGCGTAGCCCCTACTTTTAAATAGCGTGGGCGTCCGGCGGGGCACTAGGGGCAGAGGAGAGGGGCTTGTCCGATGGATTGAGACCATTCCTCGCAGACGACTCTGCTATTGGGGTTGTTTTCGTTAAAGCAGACCTGGCAGCTCATCGTCTCTCCCGCCCGTGCTTTCTGCAGCGGCCCGTCGGGAACAACCCTCTGGTATTTTTTTTTCCAACGAAACTTTGTCCCTCGCTGCTCGCCCCAAACTGTGTCGCCGCCGCTTCACACCTGGCCGGGAAAAGTAAACGACCCCGAAATGCTCTTTCTTACGGCGCCAACTCCCCATCTCTCTCTGGAGAAAGGGCTCCTTCCTCCCCGAGGCGGCGAGCTCAGCGCTCCGGGGAGGAAGGAGCAGATATTTTTGCGTGTGTTTTCTTTTCGAGTAATGCGATGGGGTTTTACTTTCGGTCTGAATTTCCGCTCCCACCTTCCTCAACGCCGGCTTTTCACCACCTGCTCGCGTGTTCCCACCTCCTCCTCTCTGAGGGGAGCGCGGCGTTAATGGAGGGGGCTTTCCCTGGAAAGGTTATTTTTACAGCCCCCCTCAGCCGCCGCCGCCCTCCCCTCAGGGCTGCCTTTGAGGCGGCGGCCGCCGAAGCGGGAATAGGCCCTAATGGCTCTTGCAGTACCGTTATGCATCAGAAATTCCCCTTCCCTGCGGGAATACCGGCTAGGCGTGCAGAGGGAGCCGGCGGTGGGCAACTGTGGAGCCCCGGCTTTGGGGAGAAAGTGGCGGCGGGGGGATTGAAGTGAGGGAGAAGGGGCCTACTGGCACTTCCCTCATGCCCGTCCACCCCATAAAATTGTGACATTATTATTATTGTTATTATTGTGTCACTGCCCTACATTTTTTTTTTGCACATAGAAGCCCAATTTCCCAGCCCCTTGAGCTATCTCCTCCCTTTACCCAGATCTCCATAGCCCTGCTCATAATAATATGAGTATGGCTAATATAAATATTAATCTAATCCTTATTGGAATGATTTTAGTGCTTGCTGGATATAACAAATATGTAATCCAGGGGCGAATGACATTAGCCTGAAAGTGTGGAGTGCAAAATATGATTTGAATAAAATGATAGGATGGTATCTAATATTTCCTTTAGGGAGTAGTATACTCCGAGCTGTCACAACCGATTGTGTAAATAGACGAGACTGAGGGATATGATCCTAATCATATTGATGAAACATTCATCTGAAAGACTGAGTGCAACCAGAAGGGACTCAGTAGGAATACAATTAAATCCTAATCTGGGGAGGAGGAATCCTCTGCAGGCTTTCCTCTAACCTGACACCCTCTCCCCTGTTTTCATTTTAGAGTCAGATGAAATGCAGGAGAGGAAGAAGAAATAAAGGAGAGATGGAGCACTGTGTGGTTTGCCTGCCTGAAGGTCTACATTAACACAAAGACTGAAGGACTGCATTAACATAGGGAGTGCTGGGTGGGAAGGAGGTAAATCTGCAGTTCTGATCCTCACGATCATAAAAAATAAAGGCCTAAGTTTAGTCACAGGCATAACTACCTGCCTGCAGAGGGTTTCTGCCTGTGAGTGGTATTAATCAGAAGTCTCTCTTTCTGAAGGTGGGTCTCTCTCCCACCCAGGCTTTGACTGTCAGCTCAGTCCCAGATTTCTGAGCAAAATTTAGTCTTCAGTCTGCTGTGTGCTATTTAGTTTACATCTGCAGCAGGGAACTGTTTTCTTGCTGATAATATTTATTAGCAAAGGGGTTATTTTCTAACCTGTTTTGACCATTGCCCCTCAAAAGATGATCTGAGAAGATGGATGGGACAAAGTTCCAGATGTGGTTCGTGTAAGACCACTAAACCCAGGCTGACTGCTTTTCATCACTTCTTGCTTTTGGGGAAGGCATTGAATAGGTGCGTTTTCCTACTGAGTACCGCCTTTTGGCCTATACCTCTAAAATGAATTCAAGCTATGAATACCTGAATTCACATCAGGATGTTTAAAGCTTGAAAAGCAGCCTGTATTCTTCATTCTGCCACAGTTTAAAGTCAGGCTGCCTTTGAGTGTCTAAAACCCAAATATGATCAGGTGGTTTTAGAGCTTTTTTGAAGTCACCTGTTTTTTATCATCCAGCTCAGGCAAAAATCGAAGTGATTTCCTTCTTCCTGGAAGTGTTCTACATGGAAAGAAAGGCGTCAAAGTTCAGTTCTCTTTCCTTGCGGCATAATGTCTGTAAATGAGGGAAGGATGTGTGGAGTGGGACATCCATAATGAATCTGTATCAGGAGCTTCACATAAGTCTCTATGCTCTTCCACCAGAGCATGAGCTCTGCAGTTTTACTGGTTTACTGAAGGACTCTTGTGGCTGAAGTAGGCACTTCAGTGTGTGTACCATAAAACAGTATAATTTTAGCAGGTTTGAGAATGAAACTTTGTGTTAGGGTTCCACTGTACTGTGATTGTATATCACAGCACACAGTAGGAGGGCAAATGAGTCTGTTCTGCCATGATCCCTGGTTTTTTTAGAGCCGCATTAGGTTTTTGTAGTACTAACTGTTAAACTTCACAGACTGGTTATAGTCCCATTTGTCCATAAAGCAATGCAGTTTTTGTAAATTGCTTGGCATAGTTGCACATTTCCTTTGAGGAAGAAAACAACCTTTATTCAGAAACCAACTGGTTTGTAATGTATTAGACCGTGTTTGTTTTTAGTGATAAGTTCTCAATAACAGAAATGTTATTACTTTGCTCTCCTTACTTCCTATGCTGAGTAAAATGATGATATTATAAGATAATATTCTTGCCCTAAGAAAGGTATAATTTTAGCAAGGAGAGCTCTTAAACTGGCACTTTGGAGGTCATGTCAATGCAAAGATGACTTTTTTCAGGAGCTATTCAAAATAGCAGGTAAATTTTATCCTACCTCTTACTCCAGATAGGTCTCACCTGTGTAGCCTGGTTTCCACTGATACTTCAACTAGCTTATTTTGCTGTAGCTCTGTGTTTTATGTTGCAAGATTGTCATTAGTGCAGCTCTTTTGGTACGTCTTTCAGTGAAGGCAGGATTCAGTTCTGCTGCCTTTGCATTGCAGCTCTTTTGCAGGATTATTTGAGAGGAA